TTGTGTTTTTTTTCCCCATAAACCAAAATAAATAGGCCACGCCTACTAGCAGACTACTGTTTCTGATTGGTTGGTTATTGGGTGGGGCTTGTGTTGGATTATTGTGGTGCACAATGACACTGATTTCATGTCTTTGTCTACAACTGTTTTGTGTTTTAATGATTAGATAAGCAGTCTGTGAGGTTATTATTGTTGACATATTTATTTGAAAGAATTGACTTATGGCGCTATTAACATAAAAACCGATGCGCACTCTTTGCAGATTGACATGGACTGCACACCAGTTTCACATTTATTCCTCCATAAACACACACAATTTTGAAGTCACGACTTAAGTCAATGTCAAAATAGTAAGAAGTCTTCAGGATTAGTTGCGATAATGTCCGTCAGTTATTAAGCTTCTTGTTCCCTTTGAGTGAACATTCTTTATGGATAAGCCGAAGCAACACTGCTGGTAAATGGGTGTTTGATATTTTTTTTAAATAATGCTTTTTTCAATCTCATCAAAATCAGATCTTAGTTCTCGCTACCGCTAAACAAAGATCTGAGGACATCCCATTACGGGTCATGTCAGACTGACCTTGCGCGAACTTTGACCGACCAATGGAATGACCAATCAGAACGCAGCTTTCTCGTGCTTTATGGCACTAATTTCAAATTGGCGACTACGCTTCGAAACATATTTTGACAAATTCTTGATTACAAATTTGAAACCTGAACAAAAGAACTTTCTGGAATGGCTAATAGATGGTCTAGATTGTATGGATTCAGTTGTTAAACCCGTAACTATCGTTTGGAGTATCCCGTGTTAATGTTTTCGAGGTTGTATGATCAGAAATCACATTCCGACTGTCACTTTCATGATCTGGTAAGTGACGCTCTGATTGGTCGGATGAAAGGTCGTTCTGACATGACCCCTAATGGGATGTCTTCAGATCTTTGTTTAGCGGTAGCAAGAACTAAGGTCTGATTTTAATGAGATTGAATTTTTTTTGTTAAAATAAGTTAAACTTAGGACCAAACTTGCCTGAATTGTGACCGTTGTTATATGAAATGTCTTTTCCATCACTGAGGTCACAGGAGTAGACGCCATCGGCCAAATCCAACTTGTCTGCAACTCATTTTGGATTAGTGAATGTAAAAACTAGATTTTGTGAGAAAACAATAAGTCACTCTGGATTTTCACTTGTCTAAGACTAACAGACAAGTGGGCTTGTCTATGCCTTGGTCACATCAGTATATTTGCATTATTGCACTCCAATTTTATTTTTGTATTTTGTTTTCTGCTCTAAGATGTGTTTACTAAAAAAAGTTAAGTTTTCCAACACAAACTTTCAGTGTGTGATGATCAAGAAACAAAGAAACCGTGGCATCCTCGAAAACTGTATAGATCTCTAGTCCGTATCTAGACTGACACTTTGTTGGTGAAAACATTTCTTCAAAATAATTGTCATTTTCTTTTTCAAAAGAACCTTTTCTCTTCTGCTGTTTTCATGGGAAACATGACTTGGTTTAGTTTGATCTAACCTTGACTTGGCTTTTAGTAATAAAAAATAATATATATTCATATTTCACAGCCATGGCGCAGGACTAGTGAGATCTGATCACTTGATTCTCTGACACACCCACTGCCTTCATTCTCTGTGAAGAGTGACACATATGTGAATTCTAATTGATGAGTATGTGATTAGTTTTTATGAATATATTGTGGGAGAATAGCTTGATGCATCTCTAATGACAATTATTACAACTGATGGACAGTGTCATTTGTTGCCATGGTAACAGTGTTTGTTGAAGTGAGATGTGTAACATGGTGGTGAAACATGGCCATGAGAGCTGTAGGCTTGTATATCCGAGTGGGCTGCAGGGGATGTCATAGATTCCTTAGTGTCAACTCACAAGCCCTTTTAAAACATTCATCATATCACAAGTTTTGTCCCAGATCCAAACTGAGATTCTGGTATTAATATATAACACCAGAGAACAATCTGTCTCGATTATCTGCTGAAACAGATTCTTTTAGGCTTAAAAGGCAAAATGGCATGATCGTATATGAATGGATCACTGAAAATCATTGATGACACAGGTGTTCTCAAAAAGGATAAGACCCGTATAGATTCCGGGGTAGAATAGGTCTTCAGCAACCCATACTTGCCGTAAAAGGCAACTATGCTTGTCGTAAAAGGCAACTAACGGGATGGGGTGGTCAGGCTCGCTGACTTGGTTGATGCATGTCATCGATCCTAATTGCAAGGATCGATGCCCATGATGTCAATCACTGGATTGTCTGGTCCAGACTCGATTATTTTACAGACCGCCGTCATATAGCTGGAATATTGCTGAGTGCGGCGTTAAACAACAAACAAACAAACAAAAAGAATAAGCATGTCCCACTCTACTGGTAGCATAAACAATAGTTTCTTTTGCCCAATGCCAACCAAGCAATACTCCTGCCGTACGACAGCGCCTATAAGCAGTCGAGCCTGTACTCCTGCCGTACGACAGCGCCTATAAGCAGTCGAGCCTGTACCATTTCACAGAAGGCCTGGTAATAAGTTGAATTTGTGGCAGATTGGAATGGAACTGTGGTGTAGAGGTATAGAGGGACATAATGACATATATACTTATACCGTTTGACAATAACTTGATTCTTTGTCATACTAACTTAAACATTGGATTTACTGCCAGCTCTTATTTTGTGTCATCAGGGATTTATCTCGACCTGCCCACAGGCCAATATTTGGCCCAGAATCTGCAGCAAATGTCAGTAAAAATTCCCAAATTGGAATTGAGAATTTCCCAGTTCACATTAATGTGGTTATTAGTAATGATATGGCTTTATAGAGGGGACTTGTATTTCACTGATAGCATGGCCAATGAAGGGGAAGAGGTTTAAATGGTTATTTTCAGATTATTGCGTTGAATGCAGGTTTTGAATAAAAGTGACAAAACCCTTTCCATATTCATAAGAAATCTCTGCCAAAAGCATCGTCAATTGTACAATTCCCACTATATCATGAGCAAGTGTTTATGAATCACAATCAGATAGTGATGGTACCAGGTGGTCGCAAATAGGTGGACGTATCCTGCCCCACCTCAATATTAGACAACCACTGAGTTTAAGAAAATAAGAATCCCAACAAAAATTCTAACTGGGCCTGTGAAGGGCACTTGTTTTGAAATCTGAGATAAATCTGTGCTCATATCGATTTGGTCTAAATTTTAATTGTAATTCAGGTTTTGTAGGGCCTCTGGTGATGAGTATGAGAGAATTGTGATGAGTGAGAGAATGGTGGTGAGTATGAGAGAATGGTGGTGAGTATGAGAGAATGGTGGTGAGTATGAGAGAATGGTGGTGAGTATGAGAGAATGGTGGTGAGAATGGTGATGAGTATGAGAAAATGATGGTTAGTATGAGAGAATGGTGGTGAATATGAGAAAATAGTGATGAGTATGAGAGAAGTTTGGTGAGTATGAGAGAATGGTGGTGAGTATGAGAGAATGGTGGTGAATATGAGAGATTGGGGGTGAGTATGAGAGAATGGTGGTGAGTATGAGAGAATGGTGGTGAATATGAGAGATTGGGGGTGAGTATGAGAGAATGGTGGTGAGTATGAAAGAATGGTGATGAGTATGAGGGAATGGTGGTGAATATGAGGGAATGGTGGTGAGTATGAGAGAATGGTGGTGAGTATGAGAGAATGGTGGTGAGTGAGAGAATGGTGGTGAGTATGAGGGAATGGTGGTGAGTATGAGAGAATGGTGGTGAGTATGAAAGAATGGTGATGAGTATGAGGGAATGGTGATGAGTATGAGGGAATGGTGGTGAGTATGAGAGAATGGTGGTGAGTATGAGAGAATGGTGGTGAGTGTGAGAGAATGGTGGTGAGTATGAGAGAATGGTGGTGAGTGTGAGAGAATGGTGGTGAGTGTGAGAGAATGGTGGTGAGTGTGAGAGAATGGTGGTGAGAGAATGGTGGTGAGTGTGAGAGAATGGTGGTGAGTGTGAGAGAATGGTGGTGAGTGTGAGAGAATGGTGGTGAGTATGAGAGAATGGTGATGAGTATGAGAGAATGGTGGTGAGTATGAGAGAATGGTGGTGAGTGTGAGAGAATGGTGGTGAGTGTGAGAGAATGGTGGTGAGTGTGAGAGAATGGTGGTGAGTATGAGAGAATGGTGGTGAGTGTGAGAGAATGGTGGTGAGTATGAGAGAAAGGTGATGAGTATGAGAGAATGGTGGTGAGTATGAGAGAATGGTGGTGAGTGTGAGAGAATGGTGGTGAGTATGAGAGATTGGGGGTGAGAATGAGAGAATGGTGGTGAGTATGAGAGAATGGTGATGAGTATGAGAGAATGGTGGTGAGTATGAGAGAATGGTGGTGAGTGTGAGAGAATGGTGGTGAGAGAATGGTGGTGAGTGTGAGAGAATGGTGGTGAGTATGAGAGATTGGGGGTGAGTATGAGAGAATGGTGGTGAGTATGAGAGAATGGTGATGAGTATGAGAGAATGGTGGTGAGTATGAGAGATTGGGGGTGAGTATGAGAGAATGGTGGTGAGTATGAGAGAATGGTGGTGAGTATGAGAGAAGTTTGGTGAGTATGAGAGAATGGTGGTGAGTATGAGAGATTGGGGGTGAGTTATCCACAAGCTTGTCACTTTGGACCTTCCATGATGATATATGGTCCAATGTGGCATTAAACTCACTAACACACTGTTACGATATTGTTTGTTTCTTTTTTGTTTAACGCCGCACTCAGCAGTATTCCAGCTATATGATAACGGTCTGTCAGTAATTGAGTCTGGATCAGACAATTCAGTGATTGGCAACATGATCATCGATCTGCGCAATTGGAATACGATGCTTACAATATTGTCACTCAATGTTCTTTTGACTTGGTTGAAAGTGATAAGGTTTTCGATAGAATGGATTTCAGTCAAGTCAATTTCCTAAATATAATTTATTTGGATGATATTGAAACCTTGTTTTGTTTTTGTCCAGTTACCGTTCCCTGTGATTGGGTCTCTGAATGCCGTGCACATGTTTGCTGAGAACCACAAGGTCGACCTTCAGACGACCACCACTCATGGTTCCAAGATAGCCTGGAGAGTCTATCAAGACAGGTACTTTCATTCTCGACAAGGTCTTTTCTGGCTTCTGTGTTCAAAACTGCCATATTTTGCAAACATGATGTTGAAGTCACAGTTTACGGCGTAGGGATGGGGGTGGGGGAGGATGGAGAAGAGTCCCAGGACCAGAAGCATATAGTAATAGCTGACTGAAATGTGGATTAGATGGTCAAAATGTGCGGCCTGGCTGATTTTGTGTCATGAAACATCATCAGTATGGATGGCGCTCGCCTGTAAACCACTGGTGCCAGACTTGCCTCTTTACCAACCTGACAATGGAAATATTGCTGACTGACCCCCAAAAAAATCACACACACATCATCAGGCTTTTTTTTTAAATCATGGTAACCTCATTAACCTCAGAGTCATGGTAACCTCATTAGCCTCAGAGTCATGGTAACCTCATTAGCCTCAGAGTCATGGTAACCTCATTAACCTCAGAGTCATGGTAACCTCAGAACTGTTAATTACTGCTGCGGGGTGGTCAGGTAGCCTAGTGGTTGAGGCATTCGCTCATCACACTGAAGACCGGGTTTGATTCCCGACATGGGTACAATGTGTGGAGCCCATTTCTGGTGTCCCCCGCCGTGATATTGCTGGAATATTGCTAAAAGCGGCCGTAAAACCATACTCACTCACTCAATAAGTACTGCTGTCAGATACATCAGTGACATTGCTAATCGAATACGCAGGGTTACTTCACAATATTTTGATGATACGCACAAGTTTTATTTTTGTAGCGTATCTGTAATGTTCGTTGCGTATATTTCAGCATTTCTGATGCGTATTTTACGCAGATACGCAGCTTATCTGGAGCTCTGTACTAGGCATGGCTGATAAGGTGCAAAGATGATTGACTTCAAATCAGAGCCAAAGCTAGTATGATCACTGAAGATGTTAACTGTTTGATCCTGTTATTGTGAAAGAATATCCCAGACAATCAATGTTTCATCATAAAACATTTTGATAAAATATGTAGAATAAAAGTTTTTGATTTAGGATATTTAGGTTTCCCTTTTTCTGTTGTGTAATATGACATTGTATTCTTTTATCAGCATCACTCTGATCGTGGCAACTGGTGATGACTGTGCCGCAGATTGCCACCTTGCCCATCTCCTTGACAACATCTACAACGCCATGGTGCTCATGTATGGCTCTGAGGAGGTTGGCAATATCAAGAACGTTGAGCGCTTCAAGAAAGAAATCAAGGTTGGTGAAATGCACCCCATTGATTTTGCATCAATATTCATCAGCTGATAACCAGATTCAATAGGTTCCTTGACGTGTTACATAAGTGTAGCTTACATGTTGCAGCCATGCAGGGTAATCGCAATAATTATAATAATGGTACATATATATCGCACCAGACTCCCCGTGAGGCATGCTCGAGCGTATGACATTATTACCCTGTCCATACATCAGTGTGTTGTGTTCTCAATTCCCTAGGGATCAGTTTACTCGGGGATAAAAAAACAGTAGCACAATTGACAAACAATTGTTTCAGCGTTGTCGAAACTTTTAGGCGTGATCTGCGTATACAATCTTTACTTTTAATACTGAGCTATGAATTCTTTTTATAACGAACACGCTTATAACAAACTTACCGATATAATGAACTTATTTTTTAGTCCCAGCCATTTGTTTTATAAATGTTGTATATATGCTTATACCGAACTACGGTTATTACAAACTAAAATTAGTGGTCCCTTTGAGTTCGTTATAAACATAGTTTTCTGTATATCTCATCAGGTTTTGCGTGTCTTTACAATATTTAAATATTCCCATATCTCATCAGATTTTGTGTGTCTTTACAATATTTAAATATTCCCATATCTCATCAGGTTTTGTGTGTCTTTACAATATTTAAATATTCCCATATCTCATCAGTTTTTGCGTGTCTTTACAATATTTAAATATTCCCATCAAAAGTTGAGTAATTTTTATCATGCTGGAGGACAGTACAGAACAAGATGTGTTTGAATATGCTTCAATAAGGGATGAGTAGAGTTGTTCCCCTTCCCACTCCCAGGATCTGCTGAGATCTTCATCTTCAGCCTGGTTGTTCTGGTGTTGTTTCATACCCCAGGGCCAGGATTGTTAAGCACACTACATCATGCTTGGTTAGAATGTAATTTATTCTTTGCCTGTTTTAACATTGACCTGTCTCAAGTGTAAAGGAGTAGTCACCAAGCTGTTTTCAAATTCATTTTACATTTTTAAGATCCATAATCTAGTCGCAGTTATTTAGAGGCAAGTTTAAATGTTTTTAAAATCACATAACACTGGTATGCCATTTTCAATACAAAACTATGTTATCACAAATACAGTGCTAAACCCACATTTGAAATTGTTAATTTAATTGACATTGCTACGTAGATTCAACTATTGTCATTGTTACGTAGATTCAACTATTGTCATTGTTACGTAGATTCAACTAATGTAATTGTTAAGTAGATTCAACTAATGTAATTGTTACGTAGATTCAACTAATGTAATTGTTAAGTAGATTCAACTTATGTAATTGTTACATAGATTCAACTAATGTAATTGTTAAGTAGATTCAACTAATGTAATTGTTACGTAGATTCAACTAATGTAATTGTTACATAGATTCAACTATTGTAATTGTTACGTAGATTCAACTATTGTCATTGTTACGTAGATTCAACTATTGTCAATGTTACGTAGATTCAACTATTGTCAATGTTATGTAGGTTCAACTATTGTCAATGTTACGTAGATTCAACTATTGTCAATGTTACGGAGATTCAACTATTGTCATTGTTACGTAGATTCAACTATTGTCAATGTTACGTAGATTCAACTATTGTCATTGTTACGGAGATTCAACTATTGTCATTGTTACGTAGATTCAACTATTGTCAATGTTACGTAGATTCAACTATTGTCATTGTTACGGAGATTCAACTATTGTCATTGTTACGTAGATTCAACTATTGACATTGCTACGTAGATTCAACTATTGTCATTGTTACGGAGATTCAACTATTGTCATTGTTACGTAGATTCAACTATTGTCAATGTTACGTAGATTCAACTATTGTCAATGTTACGTAGATTCAACTATTGTCATTGTTACGTAGATTCAACTATTGTCAATGTTACGTAGATTCAACTATTGTCATTGTTACGTAGATTCAACTATTGTCATTGTTACGTAGATTCAACTATTGTCATTGTTACGTAGATTCAACTATTGTCATTGTTACGTAGATTCAACTAATGTAATTGTTACGTAGATTCAACTATTGTCAATGTTACGTAGATTTAACTATTGTCATTGTTACGTAGATTGGAAGGCAGATGCGATTGTGATTGGTTGTACGTAGATTGGAAGGCAGATGCGATTCTGATTGGTTGTACGTAGATTGGAAGGCAGATGCGATTGTGATTGGTTGTGCGTAGGTTGTCCAGGGATCAGTGCAGTACAGCCGTTTACTTGCAGTAGAAGCACTACAACCACTAACTGCATTAAGAAGCATTTCCTTTGTGTTAAAGTGATACAATGAGTTGGCCCAATCTTCCATTGCAGTCATTGCCTGTTGTTGTATGTCTTTCTTGTTTCTTTGGTTTTGATTCGGGATAAGTGATGTAGTGATGAAAAAATGAATTTGAAAAAAATCAAATTGTTGCTGTTGTCATAGATATTTTTTCGCGAATCACAAAGTAAATTACTCTTAATCTTCATCTTTGCCTGGAACTAGTTTTAGGTTTGTTTTTTCAAAGATGGTTTATTTCTTAAAGGAACAGTTCTAAATGTGAGACAGTACTTATCAAAAGGACAAGACCTGGAAGCCATCATTTTGTAAAACTTTATGACTAATTTGTAATTGATTATAATGACACATCATTTATAACATCTGAAAGCTAGAAAGAAAAGTGTATTTTTTCAACAAATTTACGAAATTTGTATCATCATTATTAAATTCAGCTTTGTTATCTTAAATATCAAAACATATAGCTGATTGCAGTAATTTGGACACACAAGAAATACTGTTGTGTGTTTTCACAGTAGATAAAAGGTAGGAATAGCGGAATTACGTAATCATTCGTAATTTATCAATAATGCTTAATGATTCGAACAAGTTCATACAGAGACGCAGTAATGTTTCAATAGCCCAGTCTAGAATTTACCGACAACGTATCCGGTACATTTCAGAAAACCCGCTCAGACTGTGTGGCAATAGCCAGTTCAAACGTCGTCAATATCAAAATTACTGAAATGAACATTATGATGTAATTTTCAGTAAATGGGCCCCCTATGGGGAGAGCACTGCAACAATAAATTCTTGTGTTGCAATTAAGGTTTAAATTAACAAATAAAACATTTATGTGTTATGCTACACTGCCTAGAGTATTACTTGCTAGAGCTCGTGAGCCCCCTTGTACTGTACTCGTTTATTGTTTTTCAAGAGAGTATGCATTTCTCATGAATTAGAAATGAATTGGATTTATTCAAGTATAACGTTGCACCATAAAGTGTTTATATTTTGTTACATCTATTGGGGGGTGCTCATGCAGGCAGAGTAATCGCGTCTTCATAGTTTCTTTAAAAAAACATAAAAAATCTTGTCCTGCCAACCATTGATGTCGTTGATGAAATAGAATGACTGTAACACAAAACAGCTTACCTGTGTTAACCTCAATTACTTTGTTCCCATTTTGCAATTTAACTGCCTTTTAAGATACAAATCTTGGGGAGATGTTTTGTTTCACCAAAGCTAAGGATAATCTACTACAGTCTTTAGTTAATATAAAATATAATGCATTATTTTCGGATAATTAGCTTCCAAATAGGGTGTTTTTTCTGTGTAATATTGAGTGTATGCATTCTTTTATTGGATGAAGTTAAGAGGCTACACAGTGCCACCCATTAACCCTGGTCCCAGTGCTGACACATTGTCATGCTAACAGCCAGGCAATATGGTATGCTTATGTTATAAATTTAAAAAATTTAACAAATGCATTCTGTATTTTTATAAACAATATTTTTTTTAATTAGCTCATAAAGGTAATAGTTGTGCAGGGTTAGAAATTGGAACTAGTCCTATAGTCCTTGCCAAACTGCCCAATAGTTAAGGACCAGTAGAAATTTGCCATTTTTAAGGGTTTAGCTATGTTATCATTATTAGGACTAGTAGACTAAAACAGTTAGTTTCTGTCACTGTCGTGTCTCAAAGAATGAAAGTATGATGGCTTCGATACCATTGTTCCTGTACATTGTGTTTCACAGAGTAGTGATTTGTATCCTTCTATCTTCAGGTTCATGGGGTGGGGTGGAGTAGGGGGACTTTTTTCCCCACCGTTATCTTTTTGTATCAACACATTTTCACAAAGAGAAATTTTCTCAACCCTCCCACATGTACCTATGCAAAGTATTTGGTGCGAAATTGAATATAGAATCAATATTTTATATACATATGTTTAGATTTAATATGCTTTTAGTTTTGTCTCGAGTGAAGATTCTGAATCAGTTCCATTGATGACAGCACCCCAACCCCAAACAACCCCACCCCCCTCTCAGAAACCCTTCTACAAGATAGGGTTACAGGGAGGAAAAAATGGTTATGTTAATGTTACTGATTATTGGTAATCCACCCCATGAGTTAGTTGCTACAGTGCTGAATTATTGCAAGATTAAACTGACTCACTCACTTCACGATTTCTCACCATGATAAGTAATCAATGTCTTAAACAGCTCTGAAGAAACTACAGCATATGGCTACATTGAAAAAATATTGTTATAATTTTAAATATTTGTTTGATATATTTTTTGTATATGAACTCTGTCATAGTTATGAACGTTTAGCCGAACAGCTGTTCAAATGAGGCTAAGTGAGGATAGACACTTACCCCTTGGCTGGTCGGGACAATTGTTTCTTCATGGAAGCACTGTCTGCATGAAATAACCTCTCTTAGATAAACAACATGGTTTTAATGGTAGGCGTTAGCATATTCATGATAAAAGAAATATGTTACCCGCATCACATAAATATTTGACTGTTATTATTAGGTGTAGGGCTGTATCTGTCATTGATTACCCATCAAGCGAAATCTACGCACGCTGATAGAAAGTTGATCGCGTTACCAAATCAATTTCACAGCCAGATTAATAATAGAAATCACAATTTTATTGGTTGGTATATAAATATATGAATCATTATGAACAGAAAGGTTTTATTGATTAG